GTAAGAATGCCCCTTTAAATACTGTGTTAAATACTATTTGGGGCAAAACTTCACCATCAGACAAAGATGCTAATTATGATTAAAAGAGTATCACGTCCACTGATGGAACTGAGTTAAGGGGCTCTTTCTAGAGATACCAAGTAGAACATTTAATGTTTTCCTGGAGTAAAAAGGGGTGGGGTATGCTTACAAAAATACACCTGGCAGATACAAGTTTCAGCACCTTAAAAATTACATCTGCACAAACAGCAATTTCTTATTCCAATATAGCCCAAAAACCCCCTCCAAAAATCAAAAAACGGAAAAGAGACAGATCAAAGGAAACAGTGATTGTGTTCCAAATGTGATGTTATTTTAACAAAATACTGATAATGTGATACAAAAAGCATTACCATTCTTTGCAATATTAAATTCTAAATATTTCTGTCTGTAAATTTGATACCATTAGGGAGAACATATTCCAGTTTACTGTTACATTTAGCCTGCTTGTTGACAGATGCCATCTAAATAAAAACACAACCAATCATTATGCAGAGCTGTCTGAAATATAAATGCAGTAAATGAAGTATCTTGTATGCATTTCATTCCTCTCAGCACTGTGGAGACATCTGACCTCGAGCTGAGTCTCCTGTGCAAACGCTGTCCCCATGTCTAAAGTTCCCCCACTGCCCGCATATGTATTCTGCCATCTACCCTCAACCAAACCATCCAAATTACATGCAGATTTTTGTGGTATCATAATAACTTCAATATGGAATATATTTCCAACATTCTGGTAAGAGACTCCTTTCTTCCCTGCCTCACCCTCCTTCCAAGTTATTTCGGGATCATGTATTCCATTTTCACATCTCAGTGGGATACCCAACACAGTATTCATTTGTGAGAGTTAAAGCATGGGTGGGAGGTTGTGAACTAGCATATCAAAGATACATAACTATCAGTATGTCTTAAAGAAAGAAAAAGGATTTCTTTTTTTCCCCTCAAGACATATAAGCTATCTCAGCAGTGTAAATTCAAAGTGAACACCACAAACTAAAGATCAAGAACATAAAAAGGAGTGTTAAAAATGGTTTTTGATACATTCTTCTCCAAGTTACTTTTTTATTAGATGTTTTGTCTTATTAATGACTCCAACAGACATAACACATGCACACCTAATCTCAGCAAATTCAACAGAGTTGAGTTGCCTTCTGTCTGTCTTGGGAGGTTGGAGATCAGGGCTCTGAGAGGAGGCCATACATGTTCACCTGCCCCAGGCTGAGCCCAGTTACCCCTCCCATGAAGCTGTACCTCATGATCTCCAGTGTAGGAAAGACCACAAATCTGTCTGGAAACCAATTGCTACATTTACAACCTTCATTTTCCGAAATTCTTTATACCTCAGGGAACAGCTTCCTCACTGAGTTCTTTTTGTCCTTGTGACAGAAAGAACTCCTGTCTGGTTTAGTGTTTTTTTTATCAACTTGAAATTCTTTTTTTTTTTTTTTTTTTTTTTTTTGTCTTTTTCTTTTTTTATCGATATCGGGGATCGAACTCGTGACTGCCTGTTTGCAAGGCAGGCACTTATGCCGCTGAGCTAAATCCCCAGCCTAACTTGAGATTCTTAATAACTTCACCTTTGAACTGATAATCTGTAAGTGCGAGTGGAGGGGAGGCTTAATGAGGCATTCAGGTGGAAGGGAAATGTGTGCAATATGCATCTCCCACTTCCCACCCATTCTCTCCTGCCCCATCCTCACACAGCCCACTAAGTTCAGAACCCCTAAGACTGTAGGAGGAGAAGCATAGTCACCCAAGCTGAAAGAAGCTGTGTGAAGACTGGACTGATTAAGTGGACATCAGCCAAGAAAGGCTTCCACTTGAACTATAGCACGGTTTAAGTAAAAAAGAAGACAAAAGAATTCAAAATAACATGGATAGCTACCAAAGCCCACTACACTCTTATTCCTGTTTCTTCTATGTATGTTCCAGTCACCCACACGAAAATGGTAACATAGGCGGGAAAGGAAAGATGGGGAAACACAGGGCTTTGTTTTTTTCCTCATCAGCAACCTTGTGGTAGAGTGCTGGTAGGTAAGTTCTGTGATAGATGTGCTTGACTGTGTCAACTTAATTGACTTGGGTGCCACCCAAGGGATTGGCAGAGTACACTTGTAGGTAAGTCTGGGTGGGTCACACAGGTGTGCCCTTGGATACTACATCTGTCTTCTCTGGGGCTGCTCCCCTGCTCTGTTTCAGGCCACCATGAACTGAGCATCTTTGGTCCACCACACCAATTTGGAAATCTCAAATTCCACCATGTTTCTGCGTTGGAGCCAGGTGACCATGAACTGAATGCTCTAAAATCATGAGCCAAAGTAACCCTGTACTCCTTTCTATTGTGAGTATTGTTTGTTATGTCCCAGCAATGAAAAAGCTGACTAATACAGGATAACATCAAGAAGTGATACAAAAACTTGACCAGCAATACTATAGTTCTGTAAGAAAAGAATACATCTGCAAGCACAGGCTACAAAACACAAGCTGTGTAATTTCATTGATTCTCCATATGAGTTTCATGTTCTCATATTTGCATTTCTAAGTAGCCCTAGACATTATAAAGGTCAGTGGGAAAATTTATACTAGTGATTTAAATTCTTAATTTTTATTTCTTTAGAAGGGCATGAAATAGAAAATAAAGAGACTATGGCAAGTCAAAAGAGACTGCAGGAAAAAAAAGCTTACTTTTAATACAGCAGTACACTCTTACCTTCAGGGGAGATGTTCCACCTAGTGGGTACCTAAAACTTAAGTGGTGCTGAATTCTAGATTTACTGTGTCTCCCTCTATATACACACCTATAATAAAGTTTAATTTATGAAGTGGGAATGGTAAGAAGTTGATAATAACAACTAATAATAGAAAATTATAATATACAGTACTAGTGTAAAAGTTATGTGAATGCAGTCACTCTGTCTTTGAAGAATTAGGACAATTGTTAGTATTTCTAGACCATGGGTGAACATCAGTAACAGAAATCTCAGACAGTGAGAGCAAGGGTGAGGGAGGGCACTACAGTACCTGTTTTAACAAGATTTTAGCACTTCTTTCTACTTTCTGAACAAGGAATCTGTGTGATCTTGTGCACTAGGTTCTACAAGTTCTGTCTCTGGCCCTGCCTGCTTCCTCTAGCGGGCAGAAGACATGCTGTGTCTGTTTTCCTGGTCACCTTGTCACAGGCACCATTTTCTCTTTCAGCCTTCTTGCTCTCAGGTATATTTGGGAGATAGACAAACAGGCAAGAAAAGGTAGGTGTTCAGCTTGCATAACTTTAGTGAGAACTACAAAGAATATAGGTCAAATGTACAAACCAGATTAGCAATAACCAGTGATAACCTTCAGCGTTCCACTCATTAAATTCTTAACAGCTTATTGGGTAGGTTCTGTTATATTTCTGTCTTATAGCCATAGAAGCAGAGATTCAGAAAAGCTAAAAACCTGGACAGTGATTTTGTTACTTCTAAGCCTTTTTGCTATTAAATCTGAGCTCATATCATTCATTCATTCGTATCAATATAATTCTAACACTGCATTTTTTATCTTTTGCTGTTGTAGCCACATACCTCCATTTTTAGCTTCTCAAAGGTCAAAAGTATAACTGCATTTTATCAATCTTCCAGTAATTCATCATTTATCACTAAAAATGTGTATTTTAAATTTTTATTTATTTATTTATTGTCCTTTTCCTTTTTATCAGTACTGGGGCTCGAACTCACGACTGCCTGCTTGCAAGGCAGGCGCTTATGCCGCTAAGCTAAATCCCCAGCCCCTATTTATTTTTTATTTAGGTCACAAAACAGGTTTTTCTTTTCGATCATCTGACAATCCTTTGACCCCCACTGTGGAAAATTTGATTTGGCTGACACAGTTTACACTTTTCACACTACACTGATGACTTTGTTCACTAAAATCTGTTGCTGCACTGGTTAAAAAGGTGTGATTTGGAAAGAGACATCTCTAAGTCTGAATCCTGGCTCTATTGCCCACTAGTTTCCAAAATGTACTCAACTGTCAAGAGTCTGAATCCTTCCAGATGCAAATAGGAGTGAAATCAGAACAGTAACTATCTTAACTACTTAAAATTAAAGGAGATAATTGTTTTGAAATAATGCCTGTTAAGCACTTGAAAAATGTTTTACTATTATTTTTAGTACCATGTTCTTACATTTGGTTTAAAAATGGATTTGAAACATTTTTTTTCTCCTTGAAATGGTTACCTCCAGTAGTAAAATCTAAATTCAAGGGTCTCTAATTTCCAAGATGTGTATTATTTCTCGGTAAACAAAGTACACAAAAAATAACCAGAATGGCACCTGGTGGCCACATACGTAGAGTATGACTCAAGGGATCTATGATGTTTTCTTTTTTTTTTTTGATGTTTTCTTTTAATAATCCTCCCATGACAAACTCCAAGTACCACCCTCATTTTTTTCCCTTTTCATTCTAAACTGCCTGCTCTAGAGTTGATGGTAAAGAGTTTTAAAGGATCATAAAGCACTCTATAAACGTGGGGAACCATCCCCACCATTGTTATCAACGTGATTTCAGTTCTCTCTAACCTTTGCAGTGACCCTTAAATGTAAAAACATTGAGCAAATAACAATGGCTGAACTGTTTCTTCTGGTAGAACAGGAAGGGATTAGCTAATCTGAAGGTTTACTGCCACCACTCCTGCTGTCAAATGACTGCTTCCTTGGCGGCTGAGTGACAGCACAGCACATAAAAACCAGACTGGATACCACATAAAAATGTACTATATACCTATTTTTAAGACAGCTCTGGGGGGCAGGGAGGACCTTCCTGTAACATTTTATTATGGCTTAGAGAAAAGGAAAGCAGTATTTTTGAATGTAGTGTTCATGTGATACCCTAGAAAACGCAGACAGCTATGTGGTATTTTCCCAAAACCCAAATCTATTTAACAACCCCAGCTGCTCCCATGCAGGCTTGGGGGTCCTCACCAACTCCTGCGCATCCTCCTGCAGTGGCAGAAATGCTGCTTCCAGAATAGCGACCTGGTCAGCACTGAGCTTCTGCCACAGCCCAATCAGCAGGATCACCAAATGGGTGGCACTTTTCAGCCTGGCGAATGCCTGGAACAGATTGGCTTGGTTTTCCTCCACTGCTTCTGCCAGAGCGATTACCTGCAGAGAAGGCAAACTGTAGTGAGGGAGAATTCACCGTCTTGACAAGTCACATTTGGTACATTTTGTTTTTTTTTTAAAGCAACTTGGTGGACTCTGTCTTCTACAAACATAAGTGATGTTGAGTTACAAAAGACTTATCATTCATCTACTCATTTTCTCCTTTCAAAAAAATCTCCAAACTAATTCCAAGTCCATATGGCCAGGAGATGAAAACATTCATGAAATCAGTTCAATGGGGACATTGTTCAGTGTCTACTGCATAATCAAGTGAACTTCTTCAGTCTATGGCAAAAGAAGTAACTGCTAATAAGGTTATAACCTTTATTATCAGCCATGGGGAATGAGCAATTAAACACTCTCATATTTGCACTTCCCTTGTAGTTCAAAATACATTCATTATAACCTTTTTCTGAAAATACCTGTTTTCCTCTGATATTAGTCTTTACATGTTACATGGTATTGGAATACCCAATATTTCTTTATTATATCTAAAAGGCAGATAATGTTTAAAACATTTGGCCAACAAAGTAATGGCATTTTTAACACAAGTTATCAGGCACCAGTCCACACGGACCTGAAATTCAGGGTGTGTTAACTTTACAATGCCAAATCTACTTAGGATAAAAATTGGTAGGAGTCAGTAGAATTTGCTTTGTTTTTTAACCTTTTGAATAATCCTGTGGAAAAAAAGAACTAAAGCAACAATTGGATGGAACATCCATGGCTGCCCATTGGTGTTTTACTTTTATTGTCATGTCTTGGAGAATTTTGTGCTCATTAAAAGTAATGAACTGCCTGCCACAGTGGCTCAGTGTGTGTGAAGTCCCCAGAATAGGAACAGCCAAGGCCAGACAGTGAGCCCCTTTTTGTAAATCTATGCCAGCTCGAGGACCAGAGCTTAGATGGGATTCAGAGACTGGTGCAGAAGAATCCATTTGGTGATGTTCCATGGTTCATTGACACTGGTCCAAAGGGCTTGTTAACAAATCATCTTTCAAACCAGTCAAGGTCATAGCTATGTGGCCTCTCAAGTTCCCTGTGGGGAGAGGGCTGTGAGGGGACGGCCTTCTGAGAACCTGGGAGACATTGAGGAAGAGCACACCAAAGGCCCTTGTCTGCAAACCCTAGTCAGCAGGACTCTGCTCCTTGGATGCAGCTTATGAAGTTCCCAGTTCCCACTAGACTCTCCAGAGGCCAGGAAGTTTGACCCAGGACCAGCACCACATAAAGTGCAGTGGCTTCCCAAGTGCCTAGACTGTGCTTTCCACTGGGGTTTAAGAGAAGTAGACTGATATCACACAGCCCACAAGGCTCTCATAATTTGTTGGAAAGAAAACTTACACACACAACCAATTAGTGGGGAAAAATATTACTATAATAATGTTCTAATTGTGCAGAACAGAAAGTGTAAAAGAAGTTAGCTGAGGGACAGATTCTTGTGGGCCAGCGTTAATATCCCTGGGGCCTCTTTTATTCTAATGGGGCTTGGAACTCATCCCTTCCCCATTAATTCAAGAAGTCCCCTTGAAGACATGGAGAGTAGCCACTTTCCTTAAACCAAAACAGCTGGAATCCTATGCTTTCCCCACCTCACCATGATTACAGTGCACTCCTGCATAAGTCTAACTCTATAGTCTTTTCTTCCTGTAAATGTTAACAAGCCTCTTGTAGGGTCATTATATGGACACAGATGCTTTTTGTCAAAAAGTCCAAATCCCTGAGACAAAGGTCATAAACACCTACTGAGTGCCAGGTATGTACAAGAATTTGTGGAAACCACTGCAGGGAGCTTGGTGGTGACAAATCTAATCTTTACCTGCATAAGAGAAAGAAAAATGGGTCAAGGAGGCAAATGGTGACTATAGGAGGAAGACCTCGGAGCTCCCAAAGGAGAATTTCATAAAGTCATGATCATTCTTTTAAGGACAATGCCTCTGCTTAAATGAGAATAGTCAGCATGAAAGGGATTCTGCTCTGAACCATGCTAGATCAGTGTCTTCAGCCATCAATCCTCCAGGTGACACAGTCAGTACCATCTCTTTCACAGATGAGGACTCTGAGAAGCAGCTAACGGGAGGGATCTGTCCAGTACTGTACACCAGGTGTGCAAACTATGCCTACATAGAAGGGCCCCATCTGTGGCTTAATGCTCTAATGTCTCTGTCCTGAAACTCCTAATAATTTTATGTTTAAACCTGTGTTTTTCATTTAAATCAATGGGATGATGATGTATGGACACACACAGAGATGAGTTCATTCCTTTACAGGAGTTACACAGGCACTTAACAGTAACATTGATATACAGAGTACTGGTAAAATTCATATTATAATTTAAATTTTTTTATGGATAACTTTTTTTTAAAATCCATTTTATTCAAGGGCAAAAAAGAAGAAAAAAACCTGCAATAAAATTTCAAAACATGTCAATCGGAGATAACAATGGTACATATAATAATTTAAATTTCTGAAGTAGACCTTACTTGGAAAGATATTATATAGAAAATAGGAACACACCATTGGAAGTTGTGAAAGACAGACTACCGAAGAAAGGGAAGGCTTTATGTTGCAGCAGCTGTTTTATTAGCTGTATCTCCTTGTCTTTGTACCAATGACCTTGCATGAGGATCCACAAACCAAACAACCAGCCCGACCACGTGCCTAGGAGTTAAGCAAACAGGACTCAAACTTTGTCTCACCCAAAGCCTAAGTGAGATGCTGAGCACTTTGCAGGCTCAGGGATGTTCTGCTACCACCACTGGCTGAGCCTGTGTGGCTTCAGGAAGGAGAAGGTGCAGGGAGGGTCAGTAGGTTGCTAGGGCTCACTGCGGAGGTGAGCCTCGCCTCACTGGAGAGAAAGAAGTAATTGTTCAATTTGCAAGAATTGTGTCAGGCAGTTTTTAACCACAACCATCATTAAAGATTAGATTACATAAATTTAAACCTAAACAAGTTACTAAAAAAAAAGAGGTAATAATTACTCAGAACCGTGTACTTCCTACTATTATGTAGGCTCTGAGGTTGTATTAATGCCTAGCATTTCTGCATGTTGGAAATACTTAGCAATGCTGAGCTTTTACCATTCAGAGACCTCATGCTATCAGCCCAAATCAACAACAAGGAAGAATTTATGACATGAAAGTCAGCAAATGCTGAGATCTACTCTCTTATCAGAGAGCCTGTTGCTGAATACCAAAATGCATCCTAAAGCAGGCACAATTGGCAAGAGGGCTTTAAAAGGGATGGAAACAACTTAAACAGAGCAGAAAATTGGAGGCTGCTTGTTGGGGAAGGGGAAACATTCTAACTGGGGAAGGGAACCATAAGAGTATGATGGTCATCCGAGTGATGGCTGCAGTGATGTACCAGGGGAGGAGCAGGTTCTGATGGAGCTGATAAGTGTTCTGAATGTGGGTTCCTTGATGCAACCAGCACCCTAAGTGGCTATGGGATCATAATAAATATCTGGGGTGTTTGCTAGGACTTAAGTGAAGCTTTTCTGCACATTCCTCATGATTGGGAGAGATTCTCACTGAGTATAACTGGGTGTCAGCTCATGGACCCGCCCAACTCATCAACACAGCTGTGGTGCAAGAATGACTTCTCAGTGAGACAGCGCCCAAGCCGCAGGCTCTTTCCTGAGCAAGACCCAAAATCCACACATCCGGGAGCTGCAGTTTCAGTGGATGTATTCTGTGCCATTGTAGAAACAGTCTGGATCCCTGAATGGTTCCAGAAATTGGAAAGAAATGGGATAAACTATTCCTTATGTAAATTACCCCCAAGGAAAGCCTTCCTGGCCTACTGGCCAGCATGAAATACTAACCAGATCTCCATATTCTCTGTTTAGCTTTATACATAACAGCCAAGTTTACTTTGCTCTCTATGAGCAAATGAATTGAGCAGAATTAACGAAGTAGAAAGAGATGGAAACATTCGGCCCATCGAGATTCAGATCTTGTGCCCAAGGGCTCAAAGGTCTCAAAACTCACCTGGAACTGAGCACTGGGGCCGCCAGCTTCATGACTAAGATCCCGGAGAGAGGTTTCCAGGACTCATGGCTGGCTGAGAGGGCCCTGTGTTCCCTGGGGCTCAGCAGGCCACAGAGCGGGGCTGCAGGAAATAATAAAAGCTGACAATTTCAAGCATAATGTGTGGATGGCCTTTGTTTTGCTTCTTCAAACTGAAGGTTTCCAAATAAAATGGAGACCACAAAGGACACCTCTGTCCAAGTGCTGTATCAGTGAGGCCAAGGGAAGGAGGCAGAGGCCCAGGAAAATGCTCAACTCATAAAGTGAGTGTGAAATTAATCCCAAATACTTCCAGCTGCCAAGAAGGGCTATAAAACTGGTTACAGGAAAGCAGCAGCACCAGGAGCAGAGCAGACATGAATCACAATGTACGAACACAGACACGACCAATTTCTTCACCTAAGCTCACCGTCCACGCTGCCTCCAGAGCTCATGTGCAGTATGTGGAGCCCTCACACTAGAGTTCAGTGTCCCCAGCAGAGTCCTGATTGGGAGCTGGGGCTGTGCTCAGGACCTGACATTTGAACTGTCATGTGGCCCTCAGACCCTCTATGATAGGAAGTGTTGTCCCTTTGGCCCCCAATTCCTGAAACTTGCAGCCACCAGACAACGGTGACTGGGATCAGCAACAATGGCGGAGTGGGGCCGGGATTCCAGTACTGCGTTCTGATCTCCCTCCGAGGGAACTTTCTTTGTGCAGACACTCAGTGTGTGCAGGTGACTCCAAAATTAAGCCAGCAGTTTTTATCTACATCATCCCAGATACTATGGAAAAGTGCTACTCATGCATTACATCCATCACAAGCATAAGTATTCTACATTTCCCCATTGTTGAAGCTTTTAATAGGAGGTCGAGCTGATTGGTTTCTGCCCAGTCATACTATAAAGGGAATTAGTTCAGAATTTGTAAGGGTGGGAAGTTTACATGCTGAGATTTTTCTGTGAAACCATTTTATCAAGTTATATACA